ACTTGAGGGAGAAAAGACCAGAAGTTCTGTTTTGAATAGGTTGGATTTAACCCCTTAAGGACCAAACTTTTGGAATAAAAGGGAATCATGACATGTCACACATGTCATGTGTCCTTAAGGGGTTAAGGAAGTGAGCAGCCATCCAATTGGATATTCGCAGAGAGGCAGCCAGAGATATGAGTTAGGATGGGCCGAAAGAGATCACGAGAAGACAGGTAGATTTGCCTGTTATCTGCATATAAAAGATAATGGAAGCCAAAAGGAGCTGATGAGTTTACCAAGGGAGGCAGTATAGATGGAGAACAGTAGGGACCAAGGGCCTATTGTTCCTGTGTCACTGTGTAATTCTCTCATTTATTGTAAATTTCCCCCCTTTCATAACATTGTAAAACGCTGTGGAATTAGTTGGTGCTTTACAAATACCCATAAGAATAAGAATAATAACAACTTGCCTGCTGCTGCAGTTACACACAGAGAGCAATTTCAGTAACAAGCATGTTTGATTGGCAGCACCTGGTCAGGTAACAGAAGACTCTGGCCCAATATGGCTCTTCTACCAGTTAAAAAAATTCTCAAAAAAAAAGCATTATACATAAAAAAGTAAACAAAGACAGCCTTTATTGAAATGGACATCCACTAGAATACATATCTAACTGTAATTCTCTGTATGACGAGAAACTCAGAATCACTAGGCCACTAAATCTTATTGCTGGGACATACATTGTAGTATTGCCATAATTTAATTATTTCGCTTTCCCTCTAATCCTATGCTTGGTGTAGCACTTGAGATAGAGAGACACAGAGAGTGCATTTCCAATGATCTTGCTACCTATTCCTGGCCAGCTGCTATTCTCTAAAATACCACAGCTTACAACTACTATGAGCACAGAGTAAATGAAAAGGGTCAAACTTACACAGTGTGGAAAAGAGCTAAAAAAAAATGATTGTATGTATGTGTGTGTATTTGCAAGTGTCCCTTTATTACACTAAAGCTGGAATGGCATGATCAACACTTTGTTCCCCTCCAGCACTTGTGCAAAAAATCCAGAATACAAAAATATATATTAAAAGAAAAAAAAAGAAAAAAAGAGAAAAAAAACTTTATTTTTATTTTTAAAATTCATTTACTATTATGGACCGTAATAGTGTAATATGTGTTAGAGAAATGTTACTTAAAATATTATTTCATATATTCATGAAGTGTTAACATACTCCACAATTTGGGTGGTAGACAATCATTTAAACATACAAATACAAAGGAAACAAAGGACCCTACATGTAAGTTTAAATTCTACCAATTACAGCTCTGTTATACACAGTATTAATACTAATAATCCTATCTCTGACTTCCGGAGACATACACTTAATCTTCTATTGTAGGATTTTACAACATAATGGTATATTTCATAGGCATGCCATGGTGCAACGTACCCCATTTATGGTAATGTACCCTATTTTTCTTTAATTTTTTTTCCACTCTCAATTTTCTCTCTCGTGGTGTAGGTTACAGCTATAAAAGCTACAGCTTTTAGTGAAACTCAGAAGTGATAAAGTACCATATTTATTTCATAGATTCATAGACAGTTTTAGAAGAAATATGAAAGTATCACTACGACTATATCTGCCTTTGTTTTCTGGTCTCCTTCTCAGATTTTAATAGTCAACAATCCCTTCATTGATCTTTTTACAATTCTTGCTGAACACCTGTGGTTTACATATGAGTTTCTCATCATGTCTGGTTGTAATAGGTGTAAAAAAGCTCATTTTAAGCAATTTGTCAACTGAGAATGTGAAAACATGTCACATTTATATAACGAAGGTGTGAGATCCTTCCCACGTGTTTGGCACAAAAGTTTTTTGCAAGAAACCCCTAAACCACTAAACGCAATGCAAAATTTTGAGGGCAGAGAAACCAAAGCTATCAATTTGTTAAAAAAAAACCTGTCTTGAGACACCCATGCCAAGCACCTGAATTTATTTTAATAGTAAAATGGATTCAAATGCGTGGGAGTTCAAGCCCTTTATGAGTAACACTCAAGTATAATATATAGAAGAAAAGTAAACGCTATCAATAATTCTAATGAGTATGTGGCAATTGGAAGTTTACATCTCAACTATTTAGATACTGATATTGTTGTGTAGTGTTGGCGTCTGTTACAAGTTTATTGTATGTAGAAACTGTGGATGTGGCAACACTGGCATAGCATATGGTTTATGTATAACGAGCAATGCATGATGTAGTTGAGCAATCAGTATGGAAACCAGTAGAATTCTAATGCTGTTTCCTTCATTTTTGCAATTTTTTCCAGAATTGGTCTTTGTGAATAACTTTGTCACATTAACTCATTTTGACTGATGAAATTATTTTCTTTTTATAATTTATATAGTGCCACATATTCTGCAGCAATTTATAAATATACGAAGAGAGCCCTGCTAAAAATGAGTTTATATTCGCTGTTGATTTGAGTTAGGTGGGTACACATCGTTAGGTGTCTTGCCCAAGAACACTTACTACTAGTAAGGTAGTCTGACTGGGATTCTAAACTGGTTTCCCTGTAATAGTGCTCTAACTAGCTGATATTTTTATTTGGAAATTAGTAATCGTTGACAATGGTTGCTGTATGAAACCAGGAATATCATATACATAAATATTTATAATTGCAGTAACTTAAATGTAATTGACTGTGTATTTATTCTTAAATGCAACTTCATTGTTAAATAGTCACCTGTATATTAACTACAAAGCATTAGTCTATAGTCAGATGTTGCACAGAATACAGAAGGAGGTCAGCGCTAATTAACAAACAATATTAAGATAGGCAGCAACCGAAACGAAGGAGACCCCTCAAATCTTTCAACAAATGGGAAAATACAGAAAAACGGAGTAGGGCTGCGTCAGCGAAAAATAATAAATAAATAAAATAACGTAAAGTAGTCCAAAAGAGTCTCACTAGAGCAACAGTACTTGATGGAATATAGACGGGTAGACTTTTCAGTAGAAGTGGGTGCATCCTAGTGTCTCAGGGTATCCGCATATATATGAAAAACAAGGAGACAGGGGGAGCCAGTAGTGCAATACGTCTAAAATACAGAGAGTAAAACAATAGTAGACGCAGGGGCGTACCTAGAGCATTTGGCACCCGGGGCGGGTCCTATTTTTGGCACCACCCCCCTTGCTCCCCCCCTCAACTTTAAATATAAAAACAACTAAAAAATCTTTTATGTATTTAGCACTAAGCAGTGTTTGTGTTTTTGAATGTATGCATGTTTTTGTATGGAGTAAATGTGAGTGAATGTAGCGGTGTGTTTGTATGTAGTGTTGGCGTTTGAATGCAAGCATGCATTTGTGTGTTGTGTGGTATTTGAATGCAGTGGCCCACACACAAACATTGTATGTAATGATTGTGTGTGGGTCAGTGATTGTGCTTGTGTATAGCTGTGATTATGTGTGTGATTGTGTGTATCTCTGCGTATGTGTTTAGTAGATAGCTCCCTTATTTCCTGTCCTCAAATATTGCAATCCCACATAAAGATAACAAATAAGGGATTTATCTACTAAACAACAGAAAATAAGAAAAGGGCTTTTTTTTATCCTTTAGCTGTTTAGTAGATCATTCCCCGAATTGGTGCCCGTATGTGAGGGTGCTGTTTAGCAGATAGCACATTATTTGGTGTCCTTAAATATGGCAATCCCACAAAGGATAGCAAATAGAGGAGTTATCTGCAAAACAAAGATTGAAATTAAGAGGTGTCAGCCAGCCCATTTAATAATTAAGAGGTCCACCCAGCCTCCCTACCTTGCTCTAGAAGGGCTGGAGTGGATCCTCAGTCCCTGGTGGTCAGTGGTTGCTGCTGGGATCTCTCGCACGCCCTGTAATGACGCAGAGGTCGCGATGACATCATATCCTGGCTGCCGGCTCACTGCAGGTCGAAGACCGTCAGACACAGTCAGATGCACACAGTCCCACACACAGTCACTTACACACAGTTACAGGCAGACAGTCAAATACGCAGGCAATCACACAGGCAGACAGTCACACACACAATCACAGACAGTCACACATACACACAACACAGTCACAGACAGTCACACACACACAATCACAGGCAGACAGTCTCACACACACACACCCACAATCACAGGCAGACAGTCACACACACAGTGACACACACAAACATAGAATAACACAGACAATCACAGGCAGACAGTCACACACACACAGTGACACACACACACACACAATCACAGGCAGGCAGTCATACATACACAACACAATCACAGTCACACACACACAGTCAGAGAGTCACACACACAGAGACACAGAGTCACACAGACAATCACAAGCAGACAATCACACAGACAATCACAGGCAATCACACAGACAATCACAGGCAATCACTCAGACAATCACAGGTAGACAATCACACGTAGACAATCACAGGCAGACAATCACACAGACAATCACAGGTAGGCAATCACAGGCAGTCACACACACACAAACACACACACAATCAGTCAGAGAGTCACACACACACAGTCACACAGACAATCACAGGCAGACAATCACACAGACAATCACAGGTAGACAATCACAGGCAGTCACACACACACACAAACACACACACAATCAGTCAGAGAGTCACACACAGAGTCACACAGACAGACAATCACAGGCAGTCACACACACACAAACACACACACTATCAGTCAGAGAGTCACACACACAGAGTCACACAGACAATCACAAGCAGACAATCACAGGCAATCACACAGACAATCACAGACAGACAATCACAGGCAATCACACAGACAATCACACAGACAATCACAGGTAGACAATCACACGTAGACAATCACACAGACAATCACAGGCAGACAATCACACAGACAATCACAGGCAGACAATCACACAGAGTCACACAGACAGACAATCACAGGCAGTCACACACACACAAACACACAATCAGTCAGAGAGTCACACACACAGTCACACAGATAATCACAGGCAGACATTCACACAGACAATCACAGGTAGACAATCACAGGCAGTCACACACACACAAACACACACACAATCAGTCAGAGAGTCACACACACAGAGTCACACAGACAGACAATCACAGGCAGTCACACACACACAAACACACACACTATCAGTCAGAGAGTCACACACACAGAATCACACAGACAATCACAGGCAGACAATCACAGGCAGTCACACACACACAATCAGTCAGAGAGTCACACACACAGAGTCACACAGACAATCACAGGCAGTCACACACACACACACACACACAAGCAGACAATCACACACACAGTCAAAGACAGTCACAATCACAGTTACACACACACAGCACTCACTCTCTCACTTACAGTAAGTTTGGGCTGGAGGAGGAGGGGATTCAGTCCCTCCTGTGCTGTAAGTTGGGGAAGCAGGGACTCCTTCCTGCTTCCCCTCTGTGTGCAGCAGTATGAGGCTGCATATAGCTCCGCCCCCACATCCAGCCTGGCTCCGCCCCCACGTCCGAGTGGCTCCGCCCCCAAATCTCCGTGCATGTCTCCAGCCTGTTTCCTGCCCCTGCATGTGAGCTGTGTCGGCTGCCCGGTGCCTTTGCTGCTATGGCAACCAGTGCAGCCACATAGCTCACTGAACTCCCAAGCCTGGCCAGCCCTGGTGGCACCCCCCTGCCTGATGGCACCCAGGCCGGACCCCCCCCCCCTTAGTACACCACTGAGTAGACGGTAAAGAACTCACATTTAAAAGAGCTATGGCCAGCTCTGGTGTGAAGGGCGTACAGCAATATAATCCTCGCTAATGGGATATGTGAAGGGAGTGCTTCTATCAACACCGTCTGGTCAGCCAAGGCTCCAAAGGGGGATAAAAAGAGGCGACAATAGTGCTCTCATTTGGATAAGGTAAGTAAGAGTAACTAAAATAGTACTTACAGGTACTGCTCTATTAGTAAAGCGTTGGTGGTATGATCCCCACCTGGGATTTCTTTAAGTGCAGGAACAACAGTAAAAAGCCAGGAAAGTAAAAGTGCATAAAAATACAATAAAAAGAGAATTGGCACAGTAAGTAACCAAAAACTTTTAATTGATCTAAAATACACAATATAAAATAACCATTACAATTTTCACCAGTAAGGCTTTCTCAAATGGCATAAAAAAACAAAAACCACACACACACACACACACATTAGTAGAGTTCCTTGCACACAGGCTAAACTGATAGTTCCAGTTCCTAATGCTATAGTGTTCCTTTAAAGATTAAGCAAGTAGCATCATAATCCAGTTGCTATAGTGTTCCTTTAGGGATTAAGCAAGTAGCATCATAATCCAGTTCAGACAAGGCAAACATAATGGAAACAATGCAGATAAGGGGGAGAAATAGTTTCATTACTCCTCTTCTTTGTATGTTTTCTCTATACTGACTGCTAAGTGCTAAGGACTGAGCTTATGGTGATGATTGAGAGGGAACTAAGATGGAGACGCCCAGATGCAGGATAAAAAGGGTGGATTTATACATTTCATTTTATTATTCACACCTCCTAAATACATATTTGTTAAATATATATGGTAGTCAAAATAATAGGAAATAACAGTTTCCTTTAAACAAATGTAATCAGACATTCACTTTTGTTGACTAGAATTGCTGTGATGAGATCCTTAGTTGGCAGATGTAGACCAGGGCAGTTAAACATTAAGATTGTGGTTAATTCCATTCCGTAACCCAGACACATATATTGTTGTACTCTCTTATGTTTGAGATAGGTCTGTGTGGAATATCATTTAACATAATTTCAGAAGCACTTGATATAAGGGACGCTATTGCAGCAAAGTAAAGTCACATAAGCATTCCAGGTTTAGGCAACGACAGCTTTGGTAACACAAGGCTTTGCAGACTTTGTGCAGACACAGCTTTCAAAACGATCTTGTAAACTTTCACTGTAACACCAAGGGTTCATTGGTTCTCCGAAGGACCTAATGAATCGAGAGTATATTCTATCAAGAGACTAATACGTTCGTTGGAATTGCAAAACTCAGTTTAAACTCCTTGACCTTAGGCAACATCACAGTCAAAAACAGGATGTCCATCATTCTACAAGGAGTTTTACAGGCATGGCATATTGGGTCTGCAGAGATATAGCACTGTGCCAAAATATTTGAAACACATGTCAGAAAAGTACTGTGAATGGAAATTCAAGTTGCTTACAAAGTCCCTTTTGAGGTGCAAGCTTACTTATCTTTACATCATGTATCACATTTTCTTATTTTGTGAAATTTGTTAGAATGTCCAAAAGCAAAACCATTTTCTCTCTTGGTTTTTTCTACTTTAAGAACATTTCTACAAATTATGGAATTGTCATCACTGTTATCATATGCTTGTGTATTTGACTTTATGTTAAGTTTCAGCATGCAATGAAATAATGTGACACTTTGATCTTAAAAGTAAGTACATCTAACAATTTATTATTATTATTATTGTTAATATTATAATTCTTTACAGAGTGCCAGCACTTTCCACACTAAACAAGACATATGAATAAGTTTGGCTTACAGGAACAAGAGGCAGGGACGGCCAGGGTACTGTGATGGCCCTATCTACAATCTAAAGGAAATGAGGGGGACAGTATTAGTATCAGGGTAACTGTGGACGAGTTGTGTATGGCTGGGTGACTGTGGCTGGTAAGTGTTTCACGGTGGCCATAGACAAATTAAGTATTACTGGATGACTGTGACAAAGTAAATTTGACATTGTGACTGTGGCAGGGTGATTGTGGGGAGGGGGGTGAGTGTGATAGGGTCACAATGGGACAAGTGATTGTTTGTGGGGAGGCTGAAGGTCTGTGCTTAGCCTTCTCGCACATTGTAGTGCATTTTTCTTTAATCTTACTGTTGCCCCCATCCTGCTTACCTTTTGGGCAGTGAGGGGGCATAAATCAATTTCAACGGCAGTCCAGTGTGTTCCCTGATGTTCCAGTGGGCTGTGAGACAGGTCTGCACCTCTGGCTGTGTGCAGAACCCTGTGAATGCCCCCTTTATGTCTGTGACCATGAAAGAGCATTGGTTAAGAAAAATTGCAGATTTCCCTACTGGCCCGTGCAGATGCATGGGGGCTTAGCAGAGACAGCACTATAATGTTAGTGTCGGCTCTGTTGTCTAAGACTCCAAAGGGCAGAAATTACAAACAAAATTAATTTGCAGTAAACAAAATGTCTTTTGCAATTGTTAAAAAATTGTTAAATCTGTTTTTGATCCTCTGGAACTTACATGGGTATTTAAATGTCCTGCCCTCTCAGATGCTTCTCATTTTTATAATATCCACAAACAATCATACTGTTTCCAAGACTAATAACCCATAGTCAAAAAAGAACATGTATTTAGAAGAATGCAGCTTAATGTTATTCTTAATAAATATGTTCCCATTAGAACAGTAAATCAGAAGAGTAGTAAAGTGAATACAATATAAATTAAAAGAAACAACTTAACACGAAAGTGCAAGTGACAAAAGGTGCTCAAAGTGGTGCTAAAACTGTATAAATTAGTGCGACTTCCCCAGTGTTTAAAACCACTCTAAAAACATATGTTAAAATAATAAAAACAAAAATACAGATAGGGGGCGCAGAAATTTGTTCAATAAGAAATCAAAAATATACTTATTCACACTTGATTGTCCAAAAGGAGTGAGTTCCACCTATATATAAAGACAGTCCATATCATAATACTGTTTTTTTTTTTTTTTTTAAATATAAAAATATGAAAAGGTGACACCTTAACACTCACACTTTGCAGAGCCACATATAGTAGGTTCTGACTATAAAGGCACTTCAAAATCCCTTATTACGATATTCTCTCCTCCACTCCTTAGGATACCACCGCTGGTGCCAGGATGCAGCAGGATAATAACACAAGTATAGGGTGGGTATTTAAAAACTTTAATGAAAATAAAGTATAATATAAAAATGGAATTAAAAGTACATACAAAAATTAAAATAGTCCAGATCAGTAGCACTGACGCATTTCGACCCGTCCGGTCTTTCTCAAAGTGCATATTAACCTTCTCGGCTTTCTGACTCTTATACCCGATCGGCATTTCAATTTGGCGGCATTTCATCACGTTGCCATCTTCATTTCCGGGTTTCTCACTTCCATCTATGTGTAATGACGTGTTTCCGCCTACGTCCTTCTTTCATTGCGCCTGACGTCATCAATACTTGCGGATCTCGGATGCAACGCTACTACATTCCTTATGTGGATTTCACCATATTTGTAAGCCCTTGACCTTGGACAGCCTCCTCTCCCCCCATCATGTCAGTCTGTTTGTGACCAGGGGAATCATCCAATACAACAAAAGTGCCCTCATGCCAAAGCTCTCGCCTGTCTGTTGGAGCTCACCAACCTGACGACCCAGGACAATAAAAGAGGGATTGTGTATTCACCTCAGCAGACCACCCCAACTCCAGTAAGGATTTACTGCAGTCTACCTGTACATGAGAAATTGTTGTAATTCTTCCATGTAGGTTGAAATCAACCACTGTACCCAGATGTTGGCTAACGTCTGCAACCAATTCTGAGCTGAGAGGGTCAGCTCTTCTCACCATCTCAAGTCCTCCATTTTGGTATACCAAAGTGTAGCGTTACTTACCTTATCCAGGGGCCGGCCGCGGTCCTCTCTTCGAGCCGCGCGCGTTCCTGCTGCTGCACGAGCCGCGCACGGCTCATCTGACAGCTTCACTAGGAAGGCGGGCAGTGACCGCGAGAAGCGGTCACGTGTCCCGCCTGAATCTAAGAGCGCGCCGCGAGTCTCGGGCGCGCTCTTAAAGAGACAGTGGGAGCCTAAATTGTTAAAAGGCTCCCATTGGCCCCTGTCATGCCACACTCCCCATACACTTACCTTTTGGGGGTGTGGATATGACAGGAGCCAATCACATTAGTTTAGAAGCTATTTAAACTTACCTCTCCCTTTACTCCCTGCCCTATCGTGGTTTCTGTTTCAGTTCCCTTTAGCGCTTGTTGTGTTCAGTTGTGTTTTCTCCGTATTGACTTTGGCTTTGTTTCTGACTACGTTTTCTCTTTATCCTTATCTGTTCTGGTTGTCGGCTTCCTGTTTACTGTGTACCAGACCCCGGCTAGTCCTAGTTTACTCTGTCTCTCTGTGCCCTTGACTTTGGATCGTTCCTGACTCTGCCTCCTCTCATATACGTCGAGTCCGGCCATTCTAAGGT